GACACGTGTTAACGAATAATGAATTGCCCAGTCAAAAATTGAAGCTTCGTCGCAGTTGAGCTAATTTTCCAAGGTTTCTAGGAAAGAAGAACCAAGAACTATTTTACTACAAACCATTAAAAAAAAAAGCTCTCAGCGTTTATCAATCCCTGAGGGGTGCGCCATGCACTCGACTTCATTAAGTATCGTTGGAGATGATTGAATGCATATCTGGCCTTTACAATGACTCGCAGTGGCTTACCGATGTATCGAGCCAGTGCTGCTATCCTCCCACACAAGTCTGGTACCAATTTGGCGATCCTGGAGGAATGGAAGGCTTGGTGGGCCATGGGCGCGGGGATCGATTCGACGTTGTGTCGCAGTGGCGCCTCCAACCACTGCGCCACACGCGCCTTTCTATAAGCCATTACTCATAATAATAGTCGAGACTTCTTTAGTACAAACATCAGTCAGTCGTTGCGCATGGGATCACGCCCACTTTAGTACCCCTCCTCATCAGCGATGATCTCTGCGATACACCTTCTGCAGGAGATTGAAGTCAAACAATGAAGATGTCTATAAAGCAGTTTTTTGTGAGACCTTAGGTATAAAAAAAGTTCTCTATTGGCTCTTTAGCTCTCTGACTTTCGCACAAGGTCTTTTATGAATCCGAAGGCCATAGGAGGATAGTCCTGTGCGGCGAAATAGGCAGCCCAAAAGAGATTGAGTAATACTTACCTCAACACGGTATCAATGTTCTTATTGTATCACAGACTGGTCAGACAAATAAATCCTCAAAATCTAGTTTAAACGTTATTCTGTGTCTAATTAGTTCATGGAACACTTCCCTAGTTGTTCTTTGGAAAATCAGGTGAAACAACTTCCAAAATCTGAACTACAACCCAGATTCGGACCATCGTACAGGACCATCAGTGTTTTGTCTGACGCCGTCACAACACAAAAAGTGACTGTTTGTGAGGCAAGGCCAAGGAACACAATGGCTTTGTAAAATATTGTTTGATTAAAAAATAGTGGTTGTTTTTTCTGGTGCTATGTCTGTATGAAAATTTTTTAATAAGCACTTGTAGCAGATACTGGTGGGGTACATAATTTCAGAGCTCATTTCTTGTTTGCCTATGTGCCGTGTAACCGTTTCTTTTTAGTCCTTAATTTCAAATATTTCATTCTGATTGCAACGATTATCCCAAGTTATGAACACCATACTGTTTTGATTCACGTCTTTAAAGGTGGTTACAAAAAAATCCTCTCCAAATATGTTGACGGCGATTATTTGGAGGGCAGAGTAGGAGCTTGTCATTCGAACACTACTCGAGAGGTTGCGGAAGAAATCAACGTTATCCACGCAGCAATCGTTGGTGATTTTGAAGAAAATCGAGAAGTGAAGGAGTTCGACAATACAGCAACCGTCCTCTATAAAAGGGCACTGGCGAATGTGAGTGCTCCACTCGAACGGTGCTCTACTCCAGAAGATTCGACTCAGTGTGACTATGAGGGTCCACGTCACAGAAATGGACGGCTGTGGACAATTGACTCGAATTATTCCACCTTTCAAGAAGACGCAGACACCGTCACCTGAACAAAAGTTTTATAACAAATTCATATTGGCTTATTACTGAATGAAAGTACTTAAAGTATTTATGATCGATAGCGCTGAGTGATCTTTCATTCTGCTTGTGGAGCGATCAGATTTCCGACAGGTGTGTTAAGGATATCAAGATTAAGTCGCTGAGTCCAGAAAAAAAACAGTCCTTCAAGGTTTGCAAAAAAAAACATAAATTTTCTCACTTTAAACGAGTGCTCATAATAATAGTCAAAACTTCTTGGGTACAAAAATCGGTCAATAGGTGGGGAACTCATGTGGGAGCGCACCCATTTTAATACTACTTCACCACCATGATCCATGCGATATTCCTACCGCCGGAGATTGCAGTCCATGGATTAAAGGTGCCCAAAGACCACTTTCCTTTTAAAACGCCAATTTGTTGGTCCTCTGGTTTACTGTCCTTCGCACAAGATCTATTATGAATCCGAAAGCTATAGGAAGGTGGACCTGCGCTGTAAAATAGGAGGCCGAAGAGAGATTGAGTCATGTAATCTCATCAATAAGTCATTATTATACTACGGGCTTATCAGAAAAATAAAAGCTTAACAACTGCTTCGAACGTTATTCTATATCTAAATAGTTCATAAAACACTTCCCTAGTTGTTCTTTAGCAAAATAGATAAACAAGGGTGTGGGTGGCGCGACGTCAGTGATGCTGTTTAGCACAAGCAAGGCGCTGGGTCGACACTACCGCGAGCTCACTAAACCTTCTACCCTTCAAGGGTTGACAAATTTGTACCACATTCGTCTTTGCTCAGGTAACTTCCTCGGGTCCACAAAAAAAAACATGGCGGTTGTCTGCTACAAAGGATGGGAGTAGAAACTGCTCGAAATATTAATGAGCCATGTAGCCAGTGAAACGAACGAACAATGCAACGATTGTTTCAAGGATTCGCCGTAGCGAATTCGACTTTGAATATGAAGGAGGCCGCGGACATACCTCTGTTATTGACGACGATGACTTGAAGGGTTTGATAAAATCAAATCCATGCGCAACTTTCTAAAAATTTTCAGATGAAATAGAGGGACTTCGACTGCCTTGGAACACTTAAATAAGTGGAAAAGTCGAAAAACCTCAATCAATTAATACTATACAAATTTACAAACAAAGTTGCGTTACAAATAGAGTTGAGTGAAAATCACTGAACTCACCGTTTTCAAGTATGTTCGGCGCTTCTGCACAACCATAATGACCCGTTCTCTGACCGTATCGTGACGCCCAGTAAAAAATGTATTCTCCATGGTAAAGGCAGCGACTGGGTGTGTTAGGACCGTAATGAAGCTCTGTGACACTTCCCAAAGGCAAAATTTCGACAGAAAAAAGTTGAAGTGACCGTTTCCTAGTCTACATCTGCTTTGATCCATCGTCTTTTCCTGAATAGGGGAAAATGATTACTAGGAAAGTACTTCCAGCAAATAGACGAACTGGACCAGAAACCAACCCAGCTGTATCCCGCATTGGTCAGCAGAAAGGTACCGATCCTTCAATACGTTAACGGGAACCGGTGCTTCGTGCAACAGACGGTGGAAGTGTTGAATAAGCAGGGCTATGGAACTCTGCCTCAACTACTGTACTCGCTACACCTCTCGCCTAGCCGGTACCACTTCTTCAAGAATGTTGATTAATTCCTATACGAGAAATGGTTAAGGAACCAGGCCGAGACCGTAACTATTTTTAATTACCTCATCGCCTCCGGAAGTCTAGAATTTTAAGCAGTCGGTATAAATAAACATGCTTCTCGTTGGTAAAAATGTGTAAATTGCAATGGTTTCTATTTCGTTTAATAAATTCTATTTCGAGATGAGATATGCCACTTTAGAAACTCAGATTGAAATCCGCCATTAATTTCCAAACAACCTGATAATACAACTATAACAGAATGGCGGGAATGACATACTGCCCTTTACGTAACGTTTATTGATAGTATATTAAACTTGTCAACACCGTTTGTGTGAATGGACAGCTCAACAAATGACTTACGACTGGTGGTAAAGAGTAAAAAATGTAAATATTATAAAAACAATATCTAAGCGAATAGAAAGATGACTACTACTTTATTCCTCTTGGGATTAACAAAGTGATGACACCTCAAGTTTCTCAGAAACAAAGCTTTTGTTACAATCTTGCGATAGCTTGTCAACGAAACAGTGCACTGATTGCTGCAACACATCGAGTTTGAACGGAAATCGGTTCACACAAGTACCAGTATAGCGCTTCCATTCGTCCGGAGGTGTGTGATTCCTGCCTACCGACCTCAAAGGAATGGAGAGCTCTTTCTGCCCGGCTACGGAATCGAACCGGTGACCGTATGTGTTTTGCTGGGCAGTTGTAACTACCAGCTGCATACAATGCATGTGACAATAATTGACCATGAATGACGAATTTAGGATATATTTAGCATTACTCTTGAGGACAGTGGATAGTACTAAGTGTTCTACTGTCTCACAGGCAATTTGACGGTTTCATAATTTCTGAAAACTGCGTTCTACAGTAGGAGCTCGATAATCGATAAGGAATCGGATATGTCTATCCTAACGACGATTTGGAAATAAACTCTGGCCATATTAGGGCACAGCGAGTCACTTCTCTATCAATAAGAGTATTGAAAATCAAGTAGAAGCTGCGAAAATGTTAGCACTACGGAAACGGTTTGTATAAACCGAGAAGTAAGTTAAGTGCTATTTCTTGACCGAACGAGTAGTAAGAAAAATAATATCCTATACTGACACGTTACTCTAGTAAGACCGAACGGATGCGATTAGGTGCGTCTAACTTCTTAAAATGTAGATTACACCGCCGCAACTTCCATCTGCCCCAATCATTCAGTGATGGAACCGTTTTCCAGATATTTGGATCCATCACTAAGTAAACACCGTCTCATCCAAATGTGAACAGAGACGTGTGATTTCTATAGCGTAAGATTCAATTGGTTGCAAACGGATGTGCAGCACTCCAGCACCACAAGACGCAACTGTGGGCGTGCTACCGCGAGGACGAGATGCCCTCTTCGCCTTAACCTCTGCCCGCGAAATTGTAGCATTTGAATCCAGTTCTCCACCTTCATGAAATTTATTTTTGCCTGTCTGTCGTTTACTTGTCAGAATTCTCATTTCTTTCTTTATTAACTCTACGATCTTAATATCTTTAGATGGAACTGTTCTTAACTAAACAACCAAAGCCTGTGACCTCTGTATCTGTGCCGGTAGAGGTATGTTGACATGCTCGTGCCCTACTTCAAACATTTCGCTAGGGTTAGGTTTCATTTTTTTGGCAGGACACGTTTTTTACGTAATTGAACGCTAATCACTTGCTTGCCGCACCCTGTGCTATTCATCCGAAACACAGTGAGAAGCACCAATCGATATGGAGTTTGCACTTTATGTGGTCTAACGGCTTTGTTTCCGCACATTTGTGATTATGAATGTGTCTTTTAAGGGTATCTGGGGAACATGAATGACCAAGTTGTGACGGAATTGTGTGAAATGCCGAAACAAGACGATTTTCACACTTTTCGAAACAAAATGATTAAACTGCAGCCTCAGCATTACTGGGTTTAATGCTGGTTTGGGCTCCCCAGATCAATCCCGTTGACGGATGATTGCTGATGGCACTGGTACATAGAAAACTTGATGAGAAAAAAGCGAAGCGAAGGACCCGCATGGTTTGGCGGTGAACGAGTTGACCCTCGGAAAGGGTAACAGCGTGTTCGGTCCCACCGCAAACACCTGCCGTCCGGAGTGTAATTGTGATTGATTTTCACACTGTTGGTGCCTTTTTTCGTATTACCGTTTATGATTTTGCATATAGTTTCTACAGAAATGTAGTGAAAGGCAAGCAGGTGTCATTCTGTGTCGACTTGATCGTCTGTTATACTTCTTTAGGGAGTGTGTCTTTTTGCAGCCACTCATTGGTCGCAGCGTCCAGGATCCTACGAATTATCTGAACGATGTGCTTTCATACCTCTATGGTCCTGAAATCGTGCAAAACATCAAGGTGTGCGTTTGAATGTCTAAGGACATTTTTTCTTTCCTTTGTTTTCCACTTAAGTCAATCTTTTGTAGTATTGTCTGCTTCGAATTTAAGTTTATTATAGGCTGAAATGCAGCAGATACAATTCTGTGATGAGTTTCCGCTTGACGACTATCGGCTTATGGAAGTGACGAAGGAAGTAGCGGAGAGTGTAGCTGTTGGAGAGAAGTGCATAAAGCACATTATTTAGGACTGATTTTTAGCAGAAAATATTGTGAAATGCGTTGAATTTCCTTCAAAGCTATGCCTACTTTACAGGTTAGTTTTTCGTGGTCGTGATGAGGATGCTGTCGTACTTTGCACTGAGTCCGAGACATATTCAGTGAAAGAGTTAGAAACATCTAATACTTTGTTGGTTCTTCCGACATTGAGAACTACTATCGATATTATTGATACGGATACGAAGCTTCTCAGAAGAGCTCCGGTATGTCAATTACCATAGAATTTTCTTACATTCTATCCTGCTTTCATATGTTTGTACATTTTTAGATTACCCTACTTTGTCACAAATATTTGGAGTCGAGAAGAATGTCACTTGTTTCTGCTGCTCTGCTCCGTCAAATGTTACAGATGAGGGAGCTTCCGTGGGATTGGCCAAGATCGAATGCTAATGAGACCAATACGTATGTTTTGTTCGTAGCACAAAATTTTGGTGCTTATCAGGATTGACGGTTTTTAATTTCGTTTAATTACTTTATTTGAAGGTACACTTTGAAAGAAATTCAAAGCTTTATGCAGATGAGCGACAAAGAACTGTCTTGTGTACTGGAAAAAATACCCGTTGTAGAACATTATGGTATTTATTTTCCTCGCAGTAATGCTTTTTACCATGCTTATTTTATATTTGTAGGGAAAATTCGTTGGCTTTCCTACGACATTCAAGACAGACTTCTTGATTTAATCGTTGAAGCATTCGACAATGTTGAGATGACGTCTGTCAGTCTAACTCGTCTCACACCTCAAGCTCTCCGCTCTTTTCTTCCTGAAAATGTTACGGATGCAGTTATTGATTGGTTTCTTCGTACAATGTGCAAGAAAACCGAAAATGGAGGTATGACGTCTGCAATTTGTCGTCTATTTGTAAACCTCTGTTCCATTGAAAGACTCAAAAGTATCCATTGATTGTTGCCCTTCGTGGATTTATCTGTCCACAGAAGCAAGTCTTATGCTTAGTATTCAACAAATTTTAGATTATAACGTTGATCCAGATACACTCTCATGCGCAAGGGCTGCACAGCTTCTTCGGTCTGCTCCAAGGTTTGAAATCCATGACTTTTACAAACGTGCGGATGCATTAATGCCATTCGGTATTACTTTGAAGTAAGTTTGTCGGTACTGCTAATACAGCACGTCTTTTCTTTCCCTTAAATGAATTGCTTCGGTAGTCCTTTAGCCATTTCTGGTATATCTGTAAAATATGGGAACGCTAGTGCGAACTACATATCGTACTTGAGTATCGATGAGTTACCTGACGATCCGCGGGACCGGTGAGTGTGCCTTTATTTTACAGTTGTTTTAGATGTTATAGCAAGGTGTTTTTTGTTCGAGAACAATCCTACTGGTCCTATGGCGAAGGATTTTAGATTAAGAGTAATGTTCTCTAAACAAAACCAATGGAAGCTCGGAGAAATGATGGCATTCTTCTCGGATATCTATGGGAATTCACGAGATCTCGCTCTTCTGTTGATGGATATGTGCAACAGCATTGAGCTAAAAGATGGTACAACAGTGTATTGTTCCGTTCGACCTATTTGATAAGTTATGGTATAGTCCAACCTCACCGGCATATCAGTCGTCCAAGAATTCTTCCCGGAAGTGTGCAATATTGCGTATGCGTGCTCTTTAAAAATTGCGGCCTTTTTGTGAAAGCTTCAGTTACATAGTGTATTTTTTCTTAAGTATTTATCATTACCCATTTACTTAGTTTGTATTGGTTTTTCGGATTTTTAAAATATGAGTGAATTAGTTATAAACTTGTGTATCATTGTTGTAACGTGCTGTTGATTTTGAGTTCTTCCCATCATATTTTCTTTTCCATGGACCACAAATTTGATGTGAAAGTAGCACTGAATGCCGGCAACGTTGTGGACATCTTATGATTCGTCTCTCTTCAACTATTCAACAGTTGTCATTTCAGTTCTGTTTCACGACGATAAGCGAGGTACACTCAGTGAGATGATATGAAGTTCTTCCGTATTTCATTCCTTCTACCATTAGTATTTGACAACATGTTTTGATCCATCAAGTGTCTTGTTTTAGCGATCGGCGTTACTATAGTTCCCAATCTCCATGGATTAGGTTCGCGTGTATGGCATCAGAAATAAAGATAATATTAATTCTTTTGGTCTTTCTGATTGTATTGTTACCCTATGTTTCAAATTTAGTCTTATCTATGACATGGCTAAGTGTGTTCTAGTGAAAACAGGTGAAGCAACTTATCCGTTAAATCGATCTACTAATTTGCTGTTGTCCATGGCTTCATGTTGAGGACTTTGAATTTTCTCAGGTGAGATTTGTTGCGGTACAAATGATTGGTGTTGTTTTCAGCTATGATCTTTCTAAATACAATTATTAATTGGAGTTTAGGTTTCGCGACTAGGCTAGAGAGCTTCAGAAAAGTGGTTTTTCATCCTCGTTGTACGTAGTCGACGCGGTTTTCACATTTGGTGACTTAATATATATTTCGTTTCTAGAGATTGTTCTGCCACAATTTTGTTCTTGACAACTTTATATTAAGGCATTGTGGAGCTTTTTAGTGCTCGCACTTAAGGTTGAGAAGGTCATACTATGAGCTCACCATTCCTTAGCACTTTTCTGGGTTGATTCCGTATAGTTATTGAAATGCATTAAGCGGTTCTCACTGGGATTTATGAGATGATTCATGAGACGATGATGTTGGTGATTGTTGTGGCTCTCCGTTTTTGCGATGGTTGATTCTTTGCAGAACCCTCAGAGATGATAAAGTTCTTAAAGTATATTCACATGTTGTGAATAACGACGTTGGTTAATCTAGTTTGCAACTGGCGAAATCAGAGCTCGTTCGCATAAGTGAGAATGGGAAGTTCACTTTCGTCTCGACTGTAATAAGACAATACACTGCCCATATAATTGGCGTTTTTCTTTTTTCTTGCCTTTTCTTTCTTAGTGGTACTGGTGATTCCAAACTTCTTTATTTGACGGGTTCAATAGTATTCTTGTTTGGCAATTTGGAAAGCGTTTTGTTTCTACTTGATAGCAATCCATAATTTACTACTTTTGTATGCCCTGTTGGAGTGAAATTGAGTAAGATTTCTCATGTCTCAACTTGCCCTTTTTTTTTTTCAAGAAATCCAACTTTTAGTTCACCGTTTGGTATTTTGACAATATCTGGATCAGTTTGGTATGACCCTTAACCACTGAGATATTTTAGTTTCAACCTACTAAATCGTTTGCTATAGATGCAGTTTCTCCGTTATCAGTTGGCTTCCCTGCTTATAGATGCTATCAGTTTAATATCTTGTTTGTACACTAGTAAATGACACACTATCTCTTATCGTGCTGTCCAGTTTCCAACCGGGTTCCGCGACAAACCAGAAAACTGCTCTTTGCTGTAATCAAAGCTTACCGTTCTTCTATTACAACGACTTGATTTCTTATATATTTCACCCACTAACGCGCTATTCATTTACTCTGGAAGAGGGTATTTTGTTCTTAATGACGGATGGTCACCGACTGAGACAAGCATGTTGCTTTTTCTTTGTGCTCTCTTCTGTCCTTGTTCTCCTTCGTAGATCACACTACTTGTTAATTCAATTCTTTAAAGGTTTTGTTGGAGTTTTTCGAATGAGAGTGCAGAATATTGACGTATGGTACTTCTCCAAATCTTGGTCGCATCTAGGTTTTAGTGCGTTTTTGCTATTCTACGTCTTATGTTTTATCGGGCTAATGTAGGATACAGAAGTATGGATGTAAAGTTAACGTAGCTACGACTAATTTCAACAGGTTTTAACATACATAGGCCTTATTAATAGAAGGCCTTTCAAGTTGGTGGTTTGCCAACAAGGAAAGGAGAGAATTCATTTGAAAGCTCATCAATGGACCAATGTTATTCATTTAAATCGAATCGTGCATTTCATATATCTTCACTTAGTAATCGTTTCATAGTTGCCTTTGTGTAACATATTCGTGTACTAGTTTTAGCCTCTTGACTAGACTGTCCCCACTCGTCGACACGAGGTCTACTTCTTATCATCGTTTGTGGCATAGATTGCGTATGGTTTTTATATTCTTCTGAGGAGAACAGTCATTAATCTTTTATTGCGCAGCGTCAAAAAATCAGCGTTCACCCGTTTCCTACTAGTTTACTGTGATAGAAATCTACTTCAGGTTATTTTATTCACCATTTCATTTTACCATGTTTTTAAGACAGAGCTAAAGTTTATAGGATCGATCGGTATTCTTAGAATTACCTAGCATATTTATATTTCACTTACAATTTAATTTACGGGGATTATAGTTGTGGATAAGTCACTTAGGGTGATTTACTGGGGTCAACCGCTCTACATGCGCTTTTTTCCGTTTCGTAGCAGGTTGGTCTGGCACGAGCTGGTACACCTAGCAGCATTAGTGGGCTTACGAACAACTAGCGCCCACTTTTTTAAACGTTAGATTTTACTATGCTCTATTAACAAATGCACATCCACGTGATGCTGTGTGGTGTCATGCCTCTTCTGTGCTTTACAGAGGTTGTTTACCGCAGTTCATGTGTTCTATCGATAGAGTATCAAACGTAAATCCAACACCAGGAGTGAATCTTGAAGAGCTGTCTTCTACACTTGGTAATTTACAACCCCCACACCTCTGGACGAGGTCATTTTGCGGCTGGAGACGATTGCTATTGAAGGGAGTGTGCAGCGCAGATAGTATGGCTAGTGAAGAGGCGCAGAAATGCCTATGCTGGAACATTTGGCTTAGGCGCTTAAGCAAAGCTTCTTGATGTAATAAGATGAAACTAAAATCATCAACAAGAGTTTTTGGAGTGTCTTAATGTTCTCAAGGTATGCGTGCATCAGTTGGATTCGAAACAGTTTGTATTTCGTAATATTTATCAACTGTTGTCCCATTTCTACATTACATTTGTTTTGCAACGTACAATTTACAATTTGCAATATACACATATACGATATACATATGTATGATACATAATAGGGCGCGTGTGACACAGTGCTCGGAGGCGCCCTGCGACATACACGTGGAATCGATCCCCGTGCCCGTGGTTCACCAAGCCTTCCATCCCTCTGGGGTCGGCCAATTGGTAACAAATTTGTCTGGGAGGATAGCAGCATTAGTTCAATACATTGTTAAGCCAACGCTAGTCACAGTAAAGGCCGGATATGCATTCAGTCAGCTCCAACGGTGCTCAACGAAGTCGAATCCATGACGCATCGCTCAGGAATTGATCAAGAACAATAATAACAATAGTTACAATCTTCAGTTTAACCTTAAATTTCTTGTATAGCATAAGCGTTCTTTTCATAGAAAGTCGTACATTCGTACAGTCGTAGTTCATATACGTATTGTACTATGTCAAATAGAACATTCTAGACAATTTTTTCTTGCGATTGCTGGATCTACTGCTAACCTTTCTAGTACGTGCAGCAGGGTTTTTTCTGTTGTGCTACTTCGTAAGTTGACGGAAATTCGAAGTCAATGGTGTGGAAGCAATCCTCCATCAGATGTGACGTAAGAATAGGTCTATCTTGAAGTCGTTCAGTTTGATTTTCTGCCTACACTCATATACCTGCCGTGCGTTCATTGGCACCGTCTTAGTGATTAATTGGAAGAACAGCTGTATGTTCTCGGCTAAAAGACAATATGTCTAAACCGTAAGTAGGTAGAAATATACGTACCATTTACTAGTCCTAACAAATGCGTAGTCCGCCACCTGATCGCTTGTGTCCGCGAAAAGCTTTCTGTGATTGTAGCTTTCAATCACTTCCGGTTTGGATGAGCTGGAGGAAAGGGACATGTCGTGGACGTCGTGTAGATAGCATAGTAATTTTCTTTTTTTTATGCTTCCACTTCAGGATCGCTATACTGCTCAGATTCTTTTACACTACTAACTGTCTACTCTTTAGCTTCTAGCGGATGACTTGCTTGAGAAGTTCCCTTCTGTTTCGCTTACGGCTGCCAACTAGATTGGTCCCTGTCCTCAGTAAGTTCTCTATCAAAGGAAGACCACGTAGGAAGGGGGAATTGATTCTACCTCTGAACGGCACGATGAATTCATAATACATACGTGCCAAGCAGCCTTGTATACTGTGATTACAATTCTTATTGTTAAGGTGAATTAGTGGCGTAATCATGTACAACTTGTCTTGCTCGTCATACTTTGTGTTGTCGGCAATGCAGAGGTTTGCCAACAAACTTTCAAGTCTATTTCTCGCCATAACAGCAACTGCATCATGGCGGCATTAAAAAGCAGAATTGGCATCCCGACTACCTCTCAGATGTAATACCTGAAGAGTGTATATTTAGAGAAAAATCGATAAGCCTTTTTATCTCGTTAACAGTTTTCGTTCTCCAGGACATATCCTACTGTGCAAGATATCTGTTTGTGGCCTTCATGGCCTGCTCCCTATTATCAGTCATAAACAATTTGTTAAAATCAGTTCCATGAAGCGATCCTCCATATCCTCAGTTTCTTTATTGTCACTATCGCGGAGAAGTCGAACGACGCCCAAGTTGAAGTCATTGTCAACTGAGATCACTCAAGGTTATAATATTGAATTCTTGACCCTCAAAACTAACAATAAACAAGAAGATTTGTTGTATATAATAATTCAATGGTATCATGATTGAGATGGGTAAGAAAGTACGAAAGGAAACAAAAGGAATAAAGTCATGTAAAAATACAGAATGACGATGACCTAACAAGAGAGAGAGAGCTTTATAAACTTCTCTGTTCTTTTAGGATATTCTTCAAGATTGGCCAAACCATGATTCTAGTTTCTCTGATAAAAATCATAAAGAACACTAGTTCACTGACGTTGCCAATTTTCCACCTATTTACTGCTTATCCATTGATACTCGAATGCAGTTACACCTTTCAGCACTCATATCTAATCTCATAGTGAAATTCATGCATTAAAATGAAATCTGTCGGAATTTACAAACCTTTGGTAAAGAGACACAAGTTTCTTTGTTCAGCCGCCATGAGAATCGGATTTCTATGGGAGATTTAACTCTGAATACAGTTGAGATGACAGTTACATACCAGAAAAGTTATTAATTTCATTTATAGGGATAGAGCAAAGTCTATTTTATAAGTTTATTACGCTATAGATATCATAACTCTCCAGTTACCCAAAGTTAAAATTTTTTAGGAAAGATCATAATCATCTACGTAGGGAAGACAGAGTTCAGTTCTTGACCAGTAGTTCAGTGTTTTAGGGCGCGTGTAGCGCAGTGGTCGGAGGTGTCCAACGACACACACGTGAATCGATCCGTGCGCCCGTGACTCACCAAGCCTTCCATCCCTCCGGGGTCGGTAACTTGGAACCAGACTTCTCTGAGAGTATAGCAGCACTGGCTCGATACATCGGTAGACCATCGCGAGTCATTGTAAAGGCCAAATATGTATTCAATCACCTCTAAACGATGCGTAATGAAGTTGAATGTATGGTGCATCCGTCAGGGATTGATCAACGCCGAGAGCTTCATACTTCTAGTTCAGTGTTTTATTTATTTCCAGTTGTTACCGTAGATCACTGCTATAATATGGGATGTTTATTTACAAGAATTATCTAAGTGTATTCAACATAATTAGCGAAATCCTTCCAAATACTGACTCTTTGGTAACTGAGAAAGAATGACATGTAGCATATAGCAGCAACGTTATACCTCTTGACACATAAAGCAGAGCCTCTTCTATAACTTTGCAATGTTCTTATTCCCATAAGTCCTCCAGATGTGGGTGATTTATTGGTTTTTTTTTCATGAGGAAAGCAGCACTTGGCCTGTTTAACGTATTCCGCTCTGGTTACCGTATTGCATGGCTTGTCCAATGGACTACGTGCAATTCTTCGTTGGTTGCAGACTTTCTGGTTTTTTGACAATAAGAAAACTTTTCTCAATAAATAGAGGACTTGAGGCATAGTGAACATGACAGGATTGTCGAGGAGACTTTGCCTTATCGTTCTATGGGCTTGAATGATATGTATGCTATTACTTACTATGTGTTTCTATGGTTCATATTGAAAATGCGTTCCTGTGGGCATTTAGAAGTGGGTGCAGTTTATTTTGCCAATTAGCTTTTTCGAAAAAGGGTTTTTATGACTCATCAAGTGTAGGGAGTGGTTTTTCTGGTCTCATTCCTTCCGTTTTGATGTGCTTTCGATTGTACGGTCATTTGGTCCAGATCACTATGGACACAGTAATGTCCATACAGGGTGGAATGGGCTAAATCGGAGACGGGTCAACGTTTTTGGCCTCCACGAAATCATTGGTGCTCGCCAATGAGTTAAAGGTAGTTCCTGCTTTACGTGTATTCAATAAGAGTGGAACACTAAGGAATTGTGTTGTGTTTTCGGTGACGTGTCTGGTACCGTTTATGTGTGCGGCGACAAATAAGACTACTTGATTTTTTTCAAAACTAGTTTTTAATTCGCAGTTCTAAATGTTTTCGAGTATTTTCTAACTTTTCTTACCACTTCTTAGTGGGTAAAAGTCTGTAATTAGTAGTCTAAACACTCCGGTGGTTTATCAGTTCGTGACAGTCCGTCCACTGATTATCGGCGTTTGCGTTTAGTGTGTACATGCAAGCTGGTGTGTATTTCTTTGGTTGGCTATCGCCATGACACGAATTGCTTCTATTTGTATTGAAGTTGATCATTTTATCACTTCTCTTTTTTGCGCTCACTTTTCCCTTTGCATGCAGATGGATTCGGCCTACTTAATTCAATTGTCTGCTCTTTCCTGGCCGCTTAAGTGCTATCTACACCTACTCCGGGTGCGGTCAGTTTAGGCAGAGATCCATAAAGAAGTGATTGATATTCTTGTTGTTTTTTCCATTTGCGACTATTCGGCAACTAAAATTACTGAACTATCCTAAGTCTCATTGTCAGTTGGATGTTATAATGTTTTTTCCCTAAATCATTCGTCGGCTACAATAATGATCTTATACATTTGTGAATAAAAAAATATCATGTATCACTATTACGAGTTCAGTTCTTGACCAGTAGTTCAGTATTTTAGGGCGTGTGTGGCACAGTGGTCGGAGGCACGCTGCAACACAAACGTGGAACCGACCTGCGCCCATGGCCCACCAAGCCCTCCATCTCTCCGGGATCGGTAAATTGGTACTAGACTTGTCTGGTATGATGGCACCACTGGCTCGATACATCGGTGGCCCACCACGAGTCGTAAAGCCCAGATATGCATTCAATCATCTCCAAACGATTCTTAACGAAGTCTAATGCTTGGCGAATCCCTCAGGGATTGATCAACGCCGAGAGCTTCATCCTTTATCCTTTTTATTACTATTACATTGGTACATTTAACATTGTCTGCAACCTTTCTGCTATTGAAACATTGAGCGGATAACGTTGAAGGCTACATTGCTTACTTCCTGTGTAATACACTAGTCTAATAGCTCGATTTCTTATATCGTTCGCTGATGTCTGGTTCGCAAAACCACTCGAGTGACCTATCTTTTCACTTAGCGATAGCTGTCAATCTCAGAGTGTGTTCAATGACGTTTTGATGTGTAGTAAGAAAAACTAATGTGGTTATTATTCCCATTCCAGACCATTTACATGGCGGACACACCGTCGGACGCGTTGTGGCGAATCGCTGCATTCGCGGTTGTTATGCTCCTATCGGGGCGTGATCAGTGGTGGATTGTATTCATCATGTATTCGATCTATCGCCTCACCTGTGTTGAGCTATTTAGTAGAATTCGACAGACTGCATACAGAGATTTGACGTGAGTTGCAACATTCTTCTGTCTGTAACTAAAGGTTTCTATTTTTAATGACTAGAACGAAACGTGGAAAGAGCACTTAGGTATATGGCGTACATTGGAAAACACGAAAACTTATACATAGCCCTCATCTGATGTCTATTGTTTACGTGGACCTCAAAACTTCTTCATTACTATGGCTAATCTGCAGTCTACCGTCAGATAACTTTCAGCGCAGAGGTGGTTAATTTCACGAAGAAGTGGACAAATTTCTTAAATTTCGCTTGTTCTGGAAATTTCCCATGGTTTGTGCATGTTAAGGGTGTCTGACCTTTGATCTTGTCATACCACGGTTTAGTTTAGTTTCCATAAGATTAGTCTACTATTTGCTCATTGTTTTAAACGATTACAATAGTGTACTTCGATAGCTTTTAGAATTTAGCTTAGTATCCAATGAAGATTTCTAATGTCTTCTGTTTTCTGTCTCTTACGATGTTCTGAGTTCCCAATCCTCCTGTATTTGAGTGTTGCAGGGGACTTTTACTTTTATTTCGAGTGAAATTGGATTTCAATTCGCGTTTAAAGGCGAATCGCCCATTACATGAGATATTTTTGGAACAGGTCGGCAGTTCAATTTCTATTTAATTCTTCTCTTTAACATTACTAATACGCATTCTCACTTTAGGTGCGAAAAAATCCGGACAAATTAGCTTGTATTGAAGTGGAAACGGGTCGGCAAATCACTTACAGCGAGTTGAATAATCTCACGAATAAGTATGCCAACTATTTTCATGTAAGTTGTACGTATGGAATAGTATGGAAAGAATGGAAAGAAGTAAGTCGGAATTTATGAGGAACAGGAGGGGCAGTGGGGTAAAGGATTATTTGTTATTACAAGAACCCAATGAAGAATATCCCCACGTTCATGACGTCTAGTAAACCTCTACGCGTAGGACGTACTTGTCTAGTACGGCAGAGATCGTGTCGTTGTAGACTATGTAAAGATAGGATGCAATTGCATACTGACAACCGATTTCAGAGAAAGCTAGTCTTAAATAAGTGTATTATCAGAGGAGTTTTTTTTTACTACTTGTGAAGTATTCGCACTTGAGCTAAATAAATTTAAAATGTATTCCAGAAAATCGGCTACGAAAAGGGTGATGTCGTATCTTTGTTCATGGAAAACTGCATCGATTTTTTCGCCATTTGGCTTGGTCTGTCAAAGGTAACAAAACGTTGGCTGGTGTTCTATCAAGCATAGAGTAACTTTTCATAGTTTTCAATTTTACTACTTCACTTTTCAGATTGGTGTAATATCATCGTTCATAAATTCAAATCTGAAACTTGAACCGTTGGCCTATTCGATTGCGGTTTCGAATTGCCGATGTATCATCACAACTCCAACACATTTTAGTAGTAAGGACGTACTTCATTGCCTTTCTGAATCTACCGTAAAAATTTTCTATCCTGATCGTCATCATGGTGTTTGGATGATCAGAGATACGGCTAAAAAATGTAAGACTCTTAACGTAAGCGTGGTATCCTCACGCATTTATAACACATTTGGGGCTCCTACCGTCCTTATAGAAGAAATTCTGCGTGCTGAATTACCTCATTGTTCGAAATAAGTGCTTAGACGAAAAAAGAAGCCAGAAGAAAGAAGAAAAAAATGTTCTCTAAAGTTTAAAGAGTTAGTATTTCATCGTAGTGAGAAATGGAAGCTTGGATATTTTACCGAAGATCTACAGATTCCGTTGATTTTCATTTTATTCAATAGACTTCACTATGATCGGAGATGTGTATGCTGAAAGTTGAACAACCCGGTTTTTTCAGCCATATGTGCATAATTTTCTAAAGAAAAAGTCAACAATCGAGTGGTCATTACACGTAGTCGCGGATTTTCTAAATTTTGCCCTAACATTATTTATTAATTCCCGCAGTTTTTTTTTGTAACCAGCTCACATGGTATTGTTTTACCACTGTGGCCATCTGCCATACTGTTTTGTTGTTTTTTTTTTGCACAAAACCGTAAACATACGTTTAAAACTGAATTGTGATCCTTATTAGCATGTGTGCACGGGGAGGGTTGCGCAGCGGTATGTGATGCATTCCATGAGCAAGCAAAGCGCTAGTTGGACACCCTCCCCACGATCTCATCCGATTCAGGTGGGAATGCCTTATCTCTGCCATTCCCAAGATTGCAAAGAGAATGGACTTCAGCATTCTGCGACACTCATGAAGAAGACGATATGCTCAAGCAGTAGCCGAAACAATAGGCGAAATCCTCGAAGACCATTGTGGATGATGAATGCGAGGAAAACTAATCGAATACAAAAAGTCTTGGAATAAGCACAATAGGTTTGATGACGGGTTGTGTAAAATCGAGAAGAAAAACAACATGTATAATGATCGTACTTGTTGTTAAGGGATTAATTTCCAAATTGTAGCACTCCAAGAAGCGATGTCTTTGGATAGTCTAAACGTCAGTGAAATTGATGAGTTTGTTACTGACGGCAGTGTAGTTGGTACCAAATCGTTGTCGGAAGAAATCAAGGAAATAGATGATGTGGAACCGGTTTGTCACGATGTACACTTCCAAGGTGTGTTTGTGGTAGAGCTTGTTGAAACGTCGATTGCCTAGCTTTTGAGAAGGTTTAGATTCGTTCTTAGCTAGCTGTAATAGATTTCTTTTTGTTTATAAAATTCTGCTGTTGATTACAAAGTTTGTAATATATTTTTAGTTCTGGAGGATGATATATACTTTTGCCCACTTTTCTGTTATGAAGAATTTTGTTCTAGTGATTTCTCATTTCTACCTTAAGTACTTTATATTTTATTTAGATGTTCTGTGTTATATCTACACTTCAGGGACAACCGGTAATCCAAAACCAGCAGTTATCAAGCATTTTCGGTTTGTTTGGTGGTTTTATTGATCACATTGTAGCATCTTTAGCAATGTGAACCCTAATTTATATGAGCCAATGGAAGGGCGAAAGAGACTATTGATCCAATCATGAGCTGATCCTCACAATTCTAACTGTGTTCCATTGGTTCACATTCTTACATTAACATAGCGTGAAGGAATTTAGTGGTCTTCCGGTTTTTGTTGGAAACAAAAATTGAGAAGTCTCATGTGTTCAGGTATTATTTTATGGCAATGGGAGCTGGAAGATCTTTCGGAGTGAAAGAGAATGATGTTGTATACATAACTATGCCAATGTATCACTCAGCAGCTGGCATTATGGGTTAGTGTTTAATAAAAGATTCTGTATACTTCTCAGTCGCTATCGCTGAGAATTAAAGGTTAGTGCGACTGCTTAAATGTCCTATTGTTTGTATGGTCGTAATTTGCCATCAGCTGCTACAGTTCAAAAAATTTCCTAGAAATGATGGATCTCTTTTTTATCTCCACTAGAGATCACATTAGAGCCTGCTGCAAGTGGATAAGTAGTTGTTTCCTTTAAATTTTTCTTTGCCGGCGATTATTTAGATCGGCTTCGTAACCCTAGGTATCCATAACTTCTTTACCACTAAGTGTAATCAAGCATTTATTTAGTTAAACTCTTGAAAACACATTACTTTGGTGTTTCTTTTCCAATTTTTCATATTTTCCCACCTCTCGTTCAATAGTTCGTTTCAGCACATCCAGTATATCAGAGAAAATTTCGCATTTTGTCTTCTCAATAACAGATTAGTTTTAACAGTACAAATGTTTTTACCTGAATATACGTAGCGTTGATAGCTCTAGATTGTTGGTGTATACAAAGTAACAGACCATTTTTCTTATTAATTTTGTCAGTGGTTAAAATTTTTCCGGGCATGGATTTAGAAAGTGGGAGTAATCTTGTTAGTTTTAGGGATTGGGTCATTAATTGTGTTCGGCACATCTGTTGTGATCCGGAGAAAATTTTCGGCAAGTAACTTCTGGAAGGATTGTGTGAAGTATAGGTGTACTGCAAGTCAATATATTGGTGAAATTTGCAGGTTTGCATTTCTGATGTGTTTGTGACCATCTGTTTTATTAAGTTCTTATTAATACTCTTTAAACAAGTTACCTTATTCACCGCTGCGCTTCTCATTCAATGTCATGGAGTCTTGTCGTTTCTAGACATTACAAAAAATTGATCTGGCTAATTTTGAGTACCACTGGAATTTTAAAGTTACTCATTGTTAGGGAGCGTTCAATATAAGGTGCTGGTAAACGGCTTAATTATCTCTAGTAGCATATCTTTCCGAAGTACTGTCTAGATATTTCCACTCATAATTCTTACAATATTAGTCTTCAATATCGGCATTGGTGTTCCTTTGTAGTAACAAGAGGCTCTCTACAATGAGAACAATTTGAATTATTCAGATATCTCCTTGCACAGAAGCCATGCGATGAGGAAAAGCTCCACAGAGTCCGTCTCATGTGGGGTAATGGTCTTCGAGCTGAAATCTGGAGAGACTTTGTGTCACGCTTTGGAATTCAGCGAATTGGTGAACTCTACGGCTCTACTGAAGGGAATTCAAATATTGGTTAGTGTGATATGTTCGTTGCTCCATTTTTCCACGAAATATTACAGAAGCTAATTCTTGCTGAATTTTCTTAAGCCTCAGAGTTGCTTCTAAATCTCGGGTGAGAATGCGTTTTTCATTCTTGTCGATCAATTAACAATATCATCAATTTTTCGCACTTTTTCGTTATATCACCAGGTTCTTTTATAAAAAGGTTGTGAGATTAAGAAGCATTTTCCGAAGTCCTTACAGGGTAAGCTAGTTATGCTGCTTGAAGTCTAATGTAACACTTACTTTATGATGACTAATTTTCTATGTTACCGACATGCCTATTTTTCGACTATAGGCGATAATTTTTCGGTATCTATAAGACTTGAGGTGTTGGGAACATGGTAGAATTGTAGAGAATTTACTCTATCGCTGTGGTGGTATGAATGGTGTGTGTGTTCGCAGTAGAGTCATATTGCTGTCTGCATTTGCAAGTGTTTTGGAACTAATCTAGTCTATTTCGGTATTTTTCATGCCGGCGCATTCCATACGATAACTATGATTAATTATGGTGGTTGAAAATAAAAGCACAGTCAACTAACAGTTAACGTACTGTTCAGTGAACTCGTTCGAAGATTGGTTTCTCTTTATGTGTTTTTGAGCAGGGGATAGAATTTTTCTCCGAACAGCCGTCGACATAACATCTGTATCCAGCACGCCATCGATTGGCTACAAGAAGTACGGTAAGAAAAGCTCTATGGAGTAAAGGAAGCCATGGAGAAGAGTACGCATCGAAATCACTGTGCGTTATCCACAGTGCCAACCAACGTACACATTGAAATCAACGCGCACAGTCGCGGAAGTGATAACATAAATCAAGTTGACAGTCGCGAAAATGTGCGACATTGAGAATGTGTTGTGACAAAAAAATCTTGATTTCACTGTCAGAGATTCGATGGGCTGTTATTATGTTGCAATGAAAAGTTTTCCAGTGAAATTTTGGGCAAGAGACACTGAATGTGAAAAATTCGTCATCTGTCTAAATTCAAAACGTTTGTTACCTGTGTTTTACAGATGCGGTAGATCTTATTTTGATCTGTTATTTTATCTCTTCCCAACGGTTTACCGTCTCATCGTAGCTGGAAGGTGTTCTTGGCTATCGGGTTGTAATGTACAGTAGGGGAATTCATCCCACCATCACGATCTCCCAAGCTGAGAAGGAGTTCGGCGTTTCCATCAGGAAGCCCAATCAAGAGTTAACCGATACAGGATCCAGCACCGTCCTGGTAACAAACTAGTCGCATGGTGGCAAATCTCCCTCTGATTCACAAGGGCGGCAACTGCGTGTGATGTTGATGACCTGGCGCAAACTTTGGCCACGCTGCCCTTGGGATTCCAGAGAAACACAATGGGTAAACTAGCGAAACTTCGAAAAATGGAGATTCTTCTGGGGCCCTCACAACCAGTGTGGACGAGCCATCCAAGTAAGTAAGTATCTTATATCATCCTAACTAAATTAGTAGTGTCGATAACGAAACTTTGTATAAAACGATATTGCTTCTCATCTGATTGTCAATTTCGTAACATTTTCGATATTCTTGCATGGTATTCTTCATAATCATTGACGGCTAGTACATTTTTATTTTAAGAACTATCGTCGGCATCGAAAAAATTTCGTACCGTTATATTGTGATAGTCTGCTCCACCTTAAGCGTTACTACATTGTGAAGTCGTATCACAGAGTTTTCCTAAAATATGTTAACGTTGTAGTCAACTATCTCCAACGAAGTACTCAGTTAGTAGAAAGATGTACCAACATTATCAATCTCTTGTAAAAATCAAGCTAGTTAAATAAGAAGGAGATTATGCCAATATCGGTCCTAATCGTTATATGTCTTTCGAAATTGGAGGGCTGTGTTTGAATGGCACCAATTTGCCCAAATTCTTTTTGAAATCTACTTATTTTTAACGTTTCGTTATTTTTCTGCTCAACTACACTCATTTTAGTTAATATCGACAATCATGTTGGATCATGTGGTTTTTTTCCGATCTATCCCTTTATCAGTTCTCTTTATCCAGTTCGCCTTATAAAAGTTGATCAAGAAACGGATGAACTTGTTCGCGATGCGGTAAGTAGTTTTGTTTTGTTTAGTTTTTGAATAACTACAAGTCTTAGACTTATGAATATACCCAATTCGATGTTTTCTCTATTTATTCCTTGTTACACAGTATATGAACTTATTGTTAGAACGGATAGCTCAGTAGTATTAATGCCGGTCATCAGAGTACGGTCCCGGTTCGACCTCTCTCAGGGCTTATCAACCCTGTCGTCTCTCCGGAGTCGGGAAATGCGTACCAGATTTGTCTGAGAGAAGTTCACTCTCTAGTATCAAATTTGGGGAGGCTCTGGATTGCCTATGTCAGAGCTTCAGGGGGATTCGACTCGACCAACATTCAACTTCGTTCAGAAGGCCAACTTTCTATGAACCTCGTCGTAAATGGTTCATTTTTTATTCATGTGATCTTTTAAACTGATTTTGTTGAGCTGATGCGACGTTGGCATAGGTTTTCGCTGTCGTTGTTGTTGTTGTTGTTGTCGCAGTTGTCGTTGTTGTTAGTGTTGTTCGTCGATGGCTGACGTTTCGGCGATTTCGCTCTTCTCAGAGCCTTGCTATTACGAGTGGGACGTGCTGTTGCGAGTGAGTGGATTCCCACTCGTGGCATCAGGCTCTGAGTAAGGCGAAATCGTCGAAACGTCAGCCATCGACGCACAACACTAGCAACAGTGACAACAACAATAACAACAACAACAACAGCAACAACAACAACGACAACGAGAACTTATACCAATTTCGCGTCAGCTCAACATGATCAGTTTATGAAATCATATTAATTAATACTCAGCGACATTGATGATCAGAGGAACATTCTTAAGCAGAAGCCGAATGCACTCGTTAATACTTGGAAAACATTCGTGGATGATTGATGCAACGAAACAAATTAGATGGGAGAAGTGCTGTGATTTGTACAGTAGATGTGGAAGAGGGGTCATGTGTAAAAAAATATTAAATGTTTTAGAACGGTCTCTGTGTTCCTTGCCGTCCTGGTGAAGTTGGAGAAATGGTTGGAGTTATCAAGAATAAAGACTTGCTTTTGAAATTTGAGGGATATGTGAATAAAGGAGACACACAGAAGAAAATCTATCATGATGTGTTCGCTTATGGTGATCAAGTGAGCCTATTAAATTTTTATTGGTGTTTTTTGAAATTGGACAGCTATAACTTATGTTTAATTTTGACCTGATATGTTTCTCTTTCTTAACTATGATTTCGAATAGTTTACTGTCTAAGCTATGCGACCCAACTACAGGTGGCGGATAGGCTGTTAAACAAGGACAAAACGGCTTTCTACATGCTTAATGATTTGGGTTATAATGGAATGGATTCCTTATCTCTGCTTCTCCGATCGAACTACCGTACGTGGGCATGTACTTATGCATGCGTAGTTTACTGTTCTCGCGTTTAATATGGGTTGTATTCTGCACGTTGGTTTTGGAAGTCTATGGAACTGTTGCATTTTACAAAGAAGCTCCACGTTTGTTTTGGGAAATCACGACATGCTAACCATGAGTATATTCCCTTCAACATAGCTTGGCAATCTAACTGTGGTTTGTCTGGCCAATAGAAATAAAAGTAAAAGACCTTATTTTCCTAACCTTATAAAATCGCTGAAACGGTAGCGTTAGATATGGCAAGTACCTAGTTATGGTCCCAAGACAATTCTAGTCTGTTTAATTTGAAAGGATAACGGTGATGGTGTTTACTAACAGAGCACGCACGTCAGCATTAGAATCTTATATTTATGACTTGATAATTTATTTTAAGAAGATCAAGTGCAACATCAATGGATTGATCGCGGCGACACGAATTCACCGCCACATATCACCATATCGGCATTAGTGCTATTATGTGGGTCCACTTTCTTGGAACACGCTGCGCTGAAGAACGCCACGGAATTTATATTTCTATTAACTTGACCATCTTCCTGAACATCGGTTCGCTTGGGAAACTAGGGACTAGAATGAGATATTTGTAATTTGAAAACCCGCTTGCACCTATTATGAAGCGAAGACGAATATGAGGTACCGGCATTTTATATGAACCTAGAAAGGCTATACAAGGAGGATCATACCTTCTAGGAATTCTTCAAGGGCGGCTTAACGTCAAGTTTTCGTCAAAGAAGTGCGAGAATCTCTCATGAAAGACTCATGGAATGTTATGGACCACGCAATCTTTCTCTAGGTTTACCTTGAAGAAAAGATTATGTTAGACATGAGAATGTTGCCGTAAAGAGTACTGTTAAGGTTGAACATATTTGCAGTCGAGGGTATTGGCTATCGGAAAAACGCTTTTCGTGTCGTAAAAAGAGTGAGTGCTGGAGAGGGGAAAAGGAGACAGTTCATGTAACGAGATAATCGAAGTCATGAATTTATATTATTTCAGTTCGTTAACTAGGTTTCGGTACGTGCCACTATTGGTATCATCTTTGATAATTACAAGAGGCTGAACTAAACAATTCCTAACCTCTGAAATGCAGCTTTTAAAAAAGGGCCTCAAGGAGAAAAGAGCAAAGATTTAAGACTGTTGTAGGTGCATAGTAAAGGAGCTAGTATTTCATTAAATACTGTGCTGCTAAGACGACCACTTACCCATTTATGAACGGGAGACTGGTTGCAAAAGAGTGATAAAGAACATTATCCACAATCATTACACTGATGTATTCAAGAGCTAGGTATTTCCTGCTTTGTTATTCTATCAGGAAGAGTGGTTATAGATGGATACCAGCGGTTCTGATTTGCGATTTGCGTTGATATGTTACTCCAAATGGGATTTCTTCACAAGAATCTTAATCGAGAAATGTGGTGCTGTTCGATTTAGTTGCGTGAGCGGGACCCATTAATTAAGTGTGGCACGCTATGAGGCTGAATGAAAACTTCTCTATTGCCCAGTTGAATAAAGCGATGATGACAGCGAGTACAGTATATGTTAAGCATATAATAAATCTGTAAAGATAGGCCTTCGTATGAATTTAATAACTTTTATGTTGTATAATAGTTGCCCGATCATTTTCATAGATTTACTTACCAAATGGTTGCAGGTTTTTTCCAGCGGTGACATTTTGTACTGGGATAAGCTGGGATACTTGTACTTCAGAGATAGGAGAGGCGATACATTCAGGTTGATTTTTTTCTTTTCTATCCACATTTTTTCTAATAATTGAGAGCAGAATAACTGTTTTTTAGAAACAATCGTTGTTATTTTCTTAAATATTTGGTTACCAACTATTTGCTCTACCCACGTTGTCTGAAAGCTCTTTTTCTAACCTTTCCAACTGTTTGGGCGACTTTTGGTTTTTTTCAACTTTGCACGCTTCAACAGACTGTCTCACAAATCAAAATTATCGCCCATGTATTACTCTGTGCGGCTGCTATCCACCAACTAACTCAAATACTTACAGCGAATAAACGGTAGGTGTTTAAATGAAGCTGTTTCTTATGCGAATACAAATTTATTTGTTAAGTTTTATCTGCTAGGGTTATGAAAGTGTTTGGCTGGGTAGATCGCATCTCAATTTGACCTTTCCAGGCTCTGAAGAAGGCGAAAGCGCTGAAACGTCAGCTACTGTATCCTAATAAATTCTGTAATATCAGCCTAATGTCTGCTTATTGAAGAAGAACAGCGAACTCTCATTAGGGTTTAGGCGGTTTTACTTGTAAATTCCTTGAATTTAACTGATATAAAGATTTCGCAAGCTAAAAACTATCTTATGTTAGCTGAGTTTGATCCGAAGACACTGATTAACGTTAGTTGTAACACCTGTTCTGTTCTGCCCATTTTCATTAACTGATATCTAGAAGAATAGGTTAAACATTCGCAAAATCAAAGAAATCAAATGAATTGAAAGCATAGTGTGGTAGAGCGTGCGACGAGTTTCTTCTCTGGAGCTCGAGCGATAAGCTACCGAAGTTCAAAGCGGCTTTCTGCTGGTAACTATCGTACTGATCGTAGTTGGAGGGAGATCCTGATCAAGTGCAGCACTAGCGCTGTGGTTCTCCTCGACAGCGGAATGGCAAGATTTATGGCAAATGAAAATCGAGCAAAGATGATCCGAGTCTTGATCAAATTGTATTTACACACTTTGTAACGGGCGATGAATGTTAACATTTATAGTGGACTACGTGTACAACTTATGCCGCGTAGTAGCAAAGCTGGATAAAAGGATAAAAGATAAAACTCCCAGCATTGATTAATCCCTGAGGTATGCGCCATGCACTCGACTTCATTAAGCATCGTTTGGAGGTGATTGAGTGCACATCTCTCTTTACAATGACTCGCGATAGCTTCCCGATTTATCGAGCCAGTGCTGCTATGTACCAATTTGCCGACCCAGGAGAGACTAAAGGTTTGGTGGGTCATGGGTGCAGGGATCGATTCCACGTGTGTGTGTGTCACTGTGGCGCCTCCAACGACTGCGTCACACGCGCCCTTCATAGTAAAGCTGGGTGATCAAAAATGAGGAAAAATTCTAAAATTTTGCCACGACCGAATTTCTATTAACCTCGGCATTGATCAAGTGATTTTGTTCGTATTTTTTTGAGCAAACGCGAGGTGTTACTGTTCCTTGTTCACGATTAAGCTGACGTTTCGGCGAATTTCGCCTTCTTCAGAGCCTGGAAAGGTCAAGTTGATAGCAACTCACTCGGCCAAACGCCTCCATAACCAAACAAAGAAACCCCAAACCAAGATTTCAATCACTTTGAACACAGCTTTGCACACTCACCGCTTTCTATGAGGTCTCCACTAAGTATGTCACGTAGAGACCAACCGCACAGAAATCACGTGGAAGTATAATGTGCCCCTCACATCAGAAAAGCAGTTTTATATACTGCCCTATATCACGCGTGATAATGAGGCATTCCTCCCTGCGGTTCATTTTCGGATTTCTGGAATTAATCCAGAGTGCCTCGAGGGTTTTTCGCGCCTGTGTTCTCGATTCGCGTGCGAGGATCATGACACATACTTCGAAGTCGTCCCCGTTATGTCTCTGGGTCCTATGCGTGCCTAGCGGGGTATTTGGTCTATTTTTGCCGGCTAGGTGTTCTTTCATGCGGACACAGAGGGGTCTACCCGTTTCGCCAATGTATTCGTCACCACACGTCTTACAGGAGGTCAGATAAACTATACCCGAGCTCATGCAATCACCGTCTCTACCACTGGGGCAAATTATGCAATTTTGAGTTGCACATAGACGGTCTAAAATTTTGTTTTTCCTCAACGGGCTACTAAATACTTGGTTGGTTTTGTTTAGCGCGCTCTGTTTTCCTATTCTACTGTCGACACTGTTCATCGCATTATCCGCTTTATTTTGTAGAACCACGCTGTAATGCTCTCCATTCATTGTCTTCTTTCTTGTATGGCTCCAGTAAGTTTGTAGTTCGACGCCGAGCAACCTCATCTGCTTCAGCTGTCATATCCTTTTAATGCAGTTGGTATCCTTTCTAAAATCGCCATTATTTGCGAATCGAACCAGATCGTCCTCTGTTTGGAGGCATGGTGTTTCTCTAAAAATTTTCCGTCAGATGAAAGTACTCTGTCTTCTGCGCATTATAAATTATGTGTCGTATTACCACAGTGTTCTAAATCTTTCGTCTGTGTTTTCTGAAAGCTCTTGGTCAATCCATTTTTGTCTAGATCTCTTCAAATGAAGCTCCAAACTTTTCATTAATGTTACCAAATTCTGCACTGCTGATATTATCGTCGCCGTAAATATTTTTTTTGCACATCGAGCTTTGAAAAGTTGACAAAGATAATTCTTATGACCTTCTAGAAATGTGAAATAAATTGTTGGAGGACATAGCGTCCGATGTTAATCAATCCCTTATAGATACATCGTGCATCTGGCTCCATCACAGAGTAGAGGTGATTGATTGTGTATTTGACCCATGTACTGAATTATGAAGTCCTGTGGTAATCTAAAGTCAGTGTTTCTTTCCTCCTAGACAAACTTGGTACGAGTTTTCCGAACCCGTAAATAGTTGGGAAGCTTTCATAGTCTGGAGCTTGGAATTTTTTACAGCAGGTCAAACCATTGCATTACAAACGCTTCCGTCGTGTGGAATACTAAGATGTGTTTCACTGTCTATTTACCGTCCTTTATCCTTTCTGCTTTTTTTTAAAGAAACTTTTTATGAACATGTGTGCCAACAGTGGCATGAACCTGCATTATCCTATTTTTTAAGCTTATATTAATTTTATAGTTTGATTTAACAATTCTTTACACCTCTCATTCGTTCCCATGATATGTATTGCTTAAAACCCTCCTTCCCCATCCACCTCATGCTCCACCCCTCCCTTCCCTTCCTCTTTCCCCTTCCTTCCCCTCCTTCCCTCTCTCTCCTTTAACCGTATCCATGTGAACTGTATACGCCTAGAACAAGACGTAGTTTAGTAAGTGTTATTTAGATCTTCAGTAATCATAATAATAGTACAGAAGCAGATGCTTCAACTCTAACGTTTTTTGTGTACTGATATTTATTTCTCTTTCTCCGCATCGCTAACTAATATCTAACGGTTTCTACTTTTGTTTCTTCGGAAGCACATTCGCATTTCTTTGTTAACAATTATAATGTGATTCTGATCAATGGAATTACTTACGCAATGTGTCGAACTGTTTAGGAGTGATCTGCTAAGAAGAGAAATATTGTATTCACAAAAAGAGTGTCTATTGCAGATGGAAAGGGGAGAACGTGTCTACTACTGAGGTTGAACGTATCCTTCAGCCAGTAATGTGCGTTGTTGATGCGACCGTATATGGTGTGAAAGTAGGCAAACATGAAGGTCGTGCTGGCATGGCGGCTGTCGCACTTAATGATGGAATTGATGTTCATGTGAGTCTGTTGTGAATAACTATAGTACGTAACTTTAATAATGCTGAGATATTTGCAAAACTCCGGACCGCAGGTGTCTGCAGTGGGGAGCGAACGCGTTATTGTCCTTTCCGGGGAGTAACGAGTAATAAGTTAAGATTGTGATTATAACTGCAGCCTCAGCTTGACTGGGTTCAATGCCGATTTGGGCTTCCCAGATTAATCCCGCCGACGGGTGATTGCTGATGGCAAAAGATCGATAGAACTAAGAGACAGGCGAAACGATGGACACGCATGGTGTGGTGGTGAACGCGTTACTCCCCGGAAAGAACAATAACGCGTTCGTCCCCCACCGCAGACACCTGCGGTCCGGAGTTTTGCAAATACCTCACCGTTATTAAAGTTATATTTCCCAATATATACCCTGCCTTTAGAAGGAGCAGGCAGTAAATAATAAGTTAAGACTATAGTAAGTAAATTAGGAGAATATTCCCCAGTGGTTTGTTCTCATTCCTGGGTGTCGATATGTGGTCTGAGTGTGGACGACTGAAGTTTGTTTCCCATACTAGATCAGAAAAAGAAGTTCTTATTTTTGTTCGGAAGTCCAGCTAAAGAAGAATCCAAACGCAGGAATCACTGGTGTCCTGGAAGAAACCTCGTCGCAGTGCAGTAAATCTGTTTTCGATCTTTTAAGGCAGTTACTGCTTATAATGACATCGGGGCACTCGGTCCGCGTTTCTGATCACTTTGGGGATAATGTGCATCGAAACTAGTAACATACTTGTTAAGTGAAAGATTTACTGGAACTTGCATACCTCATAAAATTAGGTCGTTTAAGTGTACTAGTAAATTAGCAACGTGTTCTGTTCACTAACGTTTTCATCATACTGCTTCCTTTTTAGACGTTTTTGGATGAGATCGCGAAAAGGTTGAGAGAAAACCTAGCTAGCTATGCGATTCCTGTATTTATTCGTCTTTGCAAAGAGGTTGATCGAACGGGTATGTATGAATGTTGTGTCTGTTCTGAGGGCAACATCGGATGTGGTTCGACAATGTGACGTTCTTTTGCTGTCCTGTGATTTGTAGTGTCTGATTCCACGTTGTTTCATTGGTATCTGATTTTCTTACCAAAAATAATATATATAGCTCAGTGATTTCATTTTTTTCGTGTCTTTAGAATATTATATTGTCTTAGATGTGTTTAGGTACTTTCAAACTGAAGAAGATTGATCTTCAACGCCAAGGCTTCGACCTAGTTTTGTGCAACGGTGATCCAGTTTATTATTGGAATTCACATATTAAGGGTTATTCGTTATTAGATGCTCAAATGCAAAAGGATATCGAAACGGGTGCGTATAATCGCATCTAGAATGGAGTTCGCCGTTCATTTTCAAGCATCTTTCATTTTCAGAAGATGTATATATTGTTTTGTGCTTAGTAATATTATGCTGAAGAGGTATGTTGTGTCACAACACTTTTATGCATGATAGCTTGACTTTTCCTCATATTTCTAGTCTTAAAGAATTTAGACCTGATTAAAATTTGTGAAATTGTGCTCTTTCCGGCTATCCATGTATCTTCTTTAAATGAAAAATATCTTCCTCGATTTCACTATATGCATAGTTAAACCTTCTTCTTTTTTGTAAGGTTGTGAGATACCAGTAGAGACTAGTGTAATTTTAGTTTCTTTACAGAAGTGGTCTTTCAACGTTGTGTCTACGAAATGTGGTATATACATTATTCATCAAATTATTATGATTTTTGAGTTTTCTGACAACTGTCAATCGCATATGAGAGGGAGGCAGTGGTGGGAACTATTTGTTAACACACTAGATCACATTCAGATCTAATTTTTTAATGGGACCTCAAAGGAAAATAGCCTCTTTAACTCTTGTTGCCCAGATTTTCCTTCTCGCAGGAAAGAATACTGCACTTTCCAGCCAATCGAGTTGTAGGCGTTTCACGTTGTTCAAAATCTTGCTTTGAAAACTAAGTCTTCAGTTTAGCAAGCTACTTCTACGTATTCTGTCTGTAGTTCGTTCAATGTAGACAAACATCGAATTCTTCTGATATGAAGCGCTTATCATACGGTACACTACGACATATGAACAATAATGATTCGGACTTGTTTGCCGTACGATAAATTTCTTCTCATTTGCGCAGTGGTAAGCCGCATAAGTCCTCAGAAGAAATGAAACTGTTTGGTTTTACAAGACCTGAATGCAGAATGATGGGCTTCTTTTCTGTATTTTTCACGAGGAAACGAATAACAGCATCTACTGCTCCATCACACTTATGTGACCTCCTAGTTTTGAACCAAATGCTTCCAAGCTACTCGTGAATATATTCAGCCTCCAGTTTATTCCATCCTGTTCAGTGCTGTCTAGTTATCCAACTGTTGTTTGCTTAGATAAAAACTAATCAGTGGTCTGTTTATTTCCTTACTAGTGCATATAGAACCAAAAGGAGAGGGATTCTTTTAACCTTGGTGCTTTACTAGAGTTTTATTCGAAAATTGTTAGAAGTGAATGTTATAACGAGTTAGTTCCTACTACCTATATCACGTTACGAGTTGTAGGAAGCATTTTCGAGGCTTACAGCACTTTGTAGACGCATTCATGGAAAAACCACTTCATGAACGAACATCCAGAGGCTGCCCATGAACACGCAGCTCATCTGATGTTGTTCTCATAACGTGAGGACGGCAGTTTAATTATGCATCCAAAAGTGAAAGAAGAAGATAACACGTGAAACACAAAACGTACTCTGCCTACTTAGTATTTATAAAGTCAATTTATAGAAAATGTCATGGTTCTAGGAATCGATATCCGGCATCCATATGTGCTATCCATATGTTGTGTTGAATTGTGATAAGGTTGGTTCGGTTTCCTCACTTCGTGTACTTTTTTGCTGATGTACTCGGTTTTGAACCGCTTTCGTTGGCATTCCTTGTTACATGTTTGTGACTTATTACATGGTACTTAATGTATATTAATATATATTACTTTAATGTGATCGATTCGTAATGATATGTAAATCAATATAATAGGGGTCCTATATTACTAAGCATTTCGTTATTGTATAGATATAGATAGGTACTACACTGTTGCACCATGTTCATATTTTTTAGTGCTTATTGGGTGTTTTAAAGGTATTTAGATGTGTAATAAAGCCGTGCATATTTTCCTACAATTCGTTTCGTGTTTTCATTCGGGTTGGTAGTCCATCAATTTGGTTTTCTGATCAATAACTGAGCAGACCGTCTCCGAATTTCCTTTTTTTTTGTAAATCGGATCGAGCGGTTCACAACTTTTAACAAAATGCGAAATTACCATTAAATTGCTTGTTTTGTGAATTTCAACGGTTGTAATAGCGCTGAGTGGGTCGGACGCGTGATATTACTAACTCTTACGCAGTTAATACCGTCAGTTTACTAAATATAGGAATCGACAGCATAGTTCGGATCTAGAAAGTACCTTTCTAAGCCATAGATTTTGCTTTTTGAGGTGGATCTGCTCAATGTGATTGGTTTTCAGGTGTTCTATCTTAGAGTTTTCGTATTGATTGTACAACATCTATTATTGCCTTTATTTTTTTAATACGAAGGCACATTGTCGAATCCAGGCCTTTTGTACATACGCTCTGCATTTGTACACTTCGGAGGTTCGATAGTTCTGTAAAATGCACCCATCATTCTAAATACTCCATATTTAACCAGGAATCTCTTCTAAAAGTGTAGCACACACCATAACTCTAAGAACATCTTATAAACTTCAGAAGTGTGACTGTCGCCACATCTCATTCATCATCGTTGTCCATCGTCAACATCAGTTTTTAACACCATGAATATATCTAGCTACTCATATGGTGAGTGGCTGCAGTGATTACGCTTCGCTTGTGCTTGCGGAGCTTTCACTGATTTTGAAGATACACCTAACGTGACAGTGGAAGGAAGGAGGCTTTTGCAATATTGCGTTGTGCGATGAAATGCCCGTTATAGGCCGTTTTTCTTGGACTTATATGCACTTGGAACGGATCTCCACCAGGATATTAGGACTACTCTATCCACTTTTGGCAATAGCAGTGCATTTCAAATAGAACATTTCCTGTTACTCCTTGCTAACACTTGTCTCGTTGTTCTTCGAAGAAATATATCCCAGTGTTCATCTTTCCTCAACAACCTACAGATCATCAATTAGCGCTTAATAAAAACTTACTTATAAGTGGGCATATGAGTTTGACCGAGTTCAGCAATTGAGTGATATGATACACAACTTCTAAGTGGCACTGGCAGCACCACTTCCTCCAAAGGATCGGGAACGAACGACCTGAATTGTTTCTAGCTAACATCCTTGCAAAGACAAATATCATCTTTGCCTTATTCTTGTGCATTTTCTAATTTGGTGATCTCTTTACGATGTTGACACTTATACATCACTGAGAAGACCAATAGTGAAAAGTTTATTGTGGGAAACTTCTTCACAAAAACAATAGAAGACCCTTGTGTTAGATGAGTACGGAGAAATTTATCACTAATATTTAATTCATTATCCTAACTTAAAGGTTTCTCTATTCAACTGAATTATAGCTTGCAATTTGTTCAGTTTGAGACCTGTAGAATGCAAGCTGCGCTCGTTGAGGATTTAGAGGTGTCGCATCGCTCGTGTCGAACGTTAGAGCACGACTAATCTCGTCTTCACATCGTTGTATGATTTGTTCTTCCTTAGGTTTTGGAAGTGATTCCTCTTCCATTGGAGACGGTATGAACTTTTCTAAAACATCATCTTCTGCTCTTTTCCTCTTCATATATTCTGAAATACGTGCTTATTATATTCTATTGGGAATGTTTTCATCCTTTATTTTATCTATTGTGTTTAAAAAAGTGTTGGAAACTGGAATACGTAGGAAGTCGTCTCGTCGAACGACTGGAGTAATTAAAACGTCGAACATCTCGAAATTTAAATTGAAATTTAAATTTTTGAATTTGAATTTTTTTGAATTTTTTTAAATCTTTGAAATTCGAAACTTAATTGAAACGACTTTTCATCTTTATACCTTGTTCTTTGGATTTTTTCTTCTTTGTTATATCGAAATCAATACGATTTTAATAGGTTACCTGATGTGTATGAACAAACTCTCGACAGATCGCATTCGTTAGTATTCCACTGATGGTATGAGCCACTCCACATTTTGTGTTAATGCTTCTTTGAAAGCAAGAGTAAATCATGCCATTCATGCCATGGGAGGATATTTATCATTTTAGGATAGTGTACAATTGTAATATAAACAATAGCACCAGGAAAGAGAAGAGACACCGATAGAAACGATTACGAATATCGGAATGTGAAAGTGTTGTAGTGGATTTGAATAGTGGTTATGGGAATCTAAATCGGAGGAAGAAATCCGTACAAGGGAAAAGAGACAGCGCATGATTCAGTGGGTATTCCCACTGAATCAAGCGCTGTACTTCAGTACTTGCATACTGCATTTATTAAAATCGTATAGAAAAGTTACGTTGACTTCTTGAAATCTTAGCAACGGAAGAATTCTAATGACAGTAATGGGCACAAAAAGCGCGTACAGGACAAATAACTCGGAGTTTCGGATTTGCTTCATTTGATTTTCTCTTCTGAATCGAAACTGCGATTTATACTCAGTTAAAGGACTTTCAAATTCTGTTGGTTATAGGATTGAAGCAATTGTTTTCTAGCTAACTGTCGTTTATCATGCAGAAATTATCTAATTTTTGTAATTTTAGGCCACAACAACATCAGTGATGATATTTTAACTTAATCAAGTGTTCGTTCTCTTCACTAATAGCATGACTATAACATTTCTCGGGAGTCCGTCGATACCGGCATCTCATAGGTGATTTCCTGCTTGAAGCTTTCCTCAACAGTCTCATGTAAACCATGACGAACTACTGAGTCATTATCGCTCAACACGTTGACGCGTGAACTGGCGACATCACGCCAGCGATCCGGGTGCGGTTGTGAAGATGAGTCAGGACGAACATCACGAATAGCTATCTCCCTTGTCGTCCCTCCATCGTTGCCAACACCAACTTCACGAACTCCAGCCCCATTGTACGTGGTGTTCCCGTATCCGTTAACGCCAACGTCACGACGTGGTGTGAAATCACGATGGTTGTCGCTGTCACGATAAAAGCGGCTACCATATCCACCGTAAAGATGATCTGGTGTACTGTAGGTCTCCTGTTCGTACACGAGCTGTCTACGATCGTCCGCATCATTACGTCTACCACCAGGTCTGTTTCGTCCCGAGTTTAGTGCTGTGTAGCCAGTCTTCGACGAGTTTGATACATCGTTCAGATAGCCTGCTGCAATTGGATAGAGCAAACAGGCATGCACATGCACTACACATCCAATTATTAATTTAAAAAACGTATTAGAAAAAATGGTCCGTTTGTTATCCATTAAATTACGTGTTGAAAAGCATCTAAAGAGCACCAATGAAATACCTTTTTTTGGTCGTTGTTTCATTCGTTTTGCCAAAAGCCAGAGGAGAGTGCCAAGAATAGCCAATAATAATACAGCTGCCAAAATAATAAAGACGATCATCAGCCTAAATATTACTTACTTAATCAAGTCAAAGTGCTGTTTTTCCAACTTCCAGATTACATCTTGTTACGTTCTTTTTTTTCGTTCTCCCCTCTTTTTACTGTTATCTGTATATAATCCCTTCATCAATGAGTGCTTAGAGCTCTATTCGTCACTGTCAAACGTCTCACTACACAACGATTTTCCCTCATTCGAATACACGAAAAGCATCTTTATGACATGAAACTGTTTGACCTTTTACCTACTGTCCATTATTTTCTCATGACAGAGTATTATGTGAAACTCAGCCATAGTGACGATAATTGAGATAATTGCAAAACCTAGACGCCAGGGCAGACTAGAAGCCGAGATTACCCTTTCCGGGAGCACATGTGTTACCGCACCAATGAGGCCCTTGCCTTGCCTTTCTCTCAGCCATTGTTCACCCTTACGGTGCCATTATTGGCAATCACCCTTCAACGGTAATGAATTGGGACTCTGAAACTTTTCTTTTAACTACTTTTAGAGAGAAAGTAGTCCAAACACTCCGTCACACGCAGTGATGCGACAAGGTTACCTTTTGCTGGCCGTTAACTGGGAATATCAAACTTCTTGCCTTGGGTAATCCTGACAAGGAAATAGACTCTTGCATTGCTATTTAACAGTAACGCCATCCCTAAAGTTTTTTAAAAAATAATCCATCTATATATATCTATACATATTGTGTAGATCCCAGCACTTTTCTTATTCGACTTGTTTCCTCGCATCCATCATCCACGAAGGCTTTCGGATTTGCATGCGGGTTCAGTTGCCACTTGCGTGTTCTTAACCTTCTTTATGAATGTCGCTGAGTGCTGGTCAAGAAGATTCTTCCTATCCGGCAGCTGATCCTGGAATAGCCGTGCTGGGGTGTTCCTGGCTGTCGTCAAACATAGAGAGCTTCTCAGATAAGTTTGGTATCAATTCTTTGTCTCGGCAGGAAGTTCGGCTCGGTAAGCTTGGCACGATACGAGGTCCAACCAGGGCCTTGCGCAAATTGAGCAGCATGCTACTCCTATTGCGCTATCTTTGACGAGTTATATTTCACACCGAGGCAATTTCAGAAACAATCAATGTTGAAACATCAGTGGTAACATTGAGAAATTGCGGTTTCGGATCTTTCGAAGAGCAGAACTTGTGCGGGGTTTTCTGCATATTTCCTTACAATGTGCATTAAAGAAAATCCCAACGAAAAAGATCTTACCACAGTGGAATTGTAGCCGCTTCAGGAATACAACATGTACGTCCACAGCATTCCAAATCATCGTCACATCTGTGTTAATAACGTTTGTTACCATTGTGAAATGCATTCAATTTATGGGTTGGGAACATACCGAAACTCGTAGCGTTCGTTTTTCCCGACAACATCACCTTCCTCAAAAATGCATTGGCGAAATGACTTCGTATAACCTTCGTAAAGTATTCCTTTACTTTTTTCTTGCAACGCGATCTCCATACCCTAAAAATGTATGCGACAGCGAGGATGATGGAACGAGTGAATGACGACGACCACAAACTTAGACGTCAAACAATAAAACACGAAGAAATCGATTTGTACTTTTCAAACGATCTGCTTTTACTGGATTGTTTTTGTGAGGAACAAAGTGAGATGTCTAAAATCGGCTTCCACAAATCGAGAAACGTCTTTATAGAACGTCAGTTGATCCATTGATTAATTGCAAATCACTGAGAATGTTTTCTGGACAAAAAGGACAGTAATTTTCAAACTAATAATTTCCATCGTCGGCATTTTCACTTCGTGATTATCCGAATCGACCATACTTAATAAAATTTCTGGTTATCCATATTGACCTGCTTAATTTAATCTATCGAGAAGAGGATAAAATATTCACACCATATTCCATTTGGTTTTCTCTTTAGAGCGGAACAAAAAAATATTTGGAGATAAAAAGAAGCGAAAAAGTTAATGGATTTTCTGATTGAAGAAAGTTTCGGATGCGCTGAAACTGGGTCCGAACGAGAACCTCCTCAAACTCTTGCTTATTCGATCATGGCTGGACGAAATTTTGCGTTTTAAGTAGTTGACATCAAACAGTGTTTGTTGTGTATGTGTGGTGCAGGTAAGGGTGTGGCACCACATACCATCAGAACAACGACTGCGACACTTTCAGTGGATGGAAACGTCGTGGCAAACCCGTTTCACGTTAAGGTGCAGTCGTCAATCCCCCAATTGAATCACTCTCTTACTACATAGTCTCTGTCCGTTTACTGTAAGCTGATGAGATTTCACATTGACATTGGTTAAAAACATTCTGTTAACAATACTGGCAAAAGAAATTCGTCTACTGTTTGTAACGTGTCGAATCTCATGGAGAACATGAGAGATAATGGTCTACACCGCGAGAAGAAAAACACATTGCCAAAGACTTCTTGTCACTCGGTGACGTCATTTGCAATGGTAACTCAGGATTTGATCGTTAAACATAAGCGAAGCGCTGAATGTTTAGAATTTTTCATGATACTTTGTCATTCATCACCACTTTTTGACCTAAAACATAGTTTTAGACCGGATTTTCAAGAAAAACCCCCGAAATACTAGGTTTCCTCTATTTGGGGGTTAAAAATTTAGCCCGAAGTTAAAACATGAGAAACGAAACAAAAAAGAAACTAGAAGTAGTGATACCGTTATGATTGATCAATGATATTACTAAACATCAGGAACAAAATTTTTCTACTACATCCTGTCGAATCGTGTTACCGGTTTCAAGCAAAGACTCGATCATCGTAGTTGACACATGGTGCTTCAGGAAAAAGAAATTCAAGATTGGTTTAAAAAAATAGGGTGCAGTCGAATAAAACGACCTTTGTGATCTCCAAGACAACTCGCAACACTCATTTTAGAACCAAAAGAGATGCATAAACTATAATATGATATCGTTATACATTAAATCACTTAGGCAACACCTTGTAGTGAGCATATCTGATTCGGCAAAAGCGAAGATGTTTATTTTAAATTATCTAAATGGCCACAAAAGCAACATCCAGAAAAAATTGCATGTTTCCGGAGTCTGCAAGACGTTTGACAATTTGTTGGGAAGAGAGGAAGAGAAAGAGGGACAAAGAGAGAGAAAGAGAGGGTGGGGGCACGACAGGGAGGAAAAAGGGGTTGGCGGTTGGTGGTGTCCGAGACCGGTCCCACGAGCAAACAGCTTCCAGTCGGCGCGCGCAGTCAGGAGACGACCGTGTGCACAACTAGAGATACAACTCAGTGTTTCGTGGCTTGTGTGCTCGATAGGCGGGAAACACTTGTCGTATATTACTTTAAACAAAATCTCTTTCCATAATGATACTGAGATATTTGCAAAACCTAGAAGCCAAGTCGGATTCGAACCTGCGATTATCCTTTCGGGGCTTATGTGTTATCCACTGCACCACTGAGGCCCTCATTCTGCCTTCCTCTCAGCTAGTTTTCTATCGAACATTGCCATCACCAATCGTTCGTCCGCGGTATTGATCTGAGGAGCACAAATCGGCATTGATCCCAGTTAAACTGAGGCTGTAGTCGAAATCACGGTGCCTAACATTTTTCTACTCCTTATTACTATTTTTATCCTGTAAGGTATTCTGTGAAGAACAACCTCTGTAATTATGAGATATCACACTGCATCGTGAAGAAATAATAATAGGCAGTAAATAAAAGTAGTATTTTTTCATAGTTTCTGGGATTGTTAAGCTGACACGAGTTTGGTACAGAAATCTGAGTTCGGCTAACGTTTCGACGTCTTCATCATCTTCTTCGTCGTGTGGACTCATCAATCTAAGAAACCAGAGATTATTTCTTTTTGTTTCTTCAAATTTTACTTTATATGACTCGTCTTCACGTCTACTATGCTGGTCTCAGCACTTCTCACATTCGATTCGCTTCCTCACCTCCACGATCCATCAAGATTTTCCCACTTTTACATGTGGGTTCGATTCCTGCTTGAGGATTTCTATTTCATGTTAAATGTCGTAGAATGCTGGTCGAGCGACTCTCCCTGGAGTCCTGAGATAGCTGGGCTAAAGCGTTCCCAGTTGGATTGAAGGTAGTGATTTTTTCCCAGACAAGCCAGGTAATAATTTACCGACCCCGGAAGGATGAGAGGATTGGTTGGCTCGGAACAGAGTCGAACTATCACCATGCTGGCGATGACGGACACCACTGCCACTGTGTTATCTCCCTCATTTATTGTTTATGTCGGGGTTAAACGAAAGTCGGTCTATGGTAATAATTCTTCTGCCAGAAAAAACATTTTTTTCTAAGGAAATCATGAGATAGAATTCGTTTATCAGTTATACAAAAAATAAAGAAAAGCAGTCGATTATTTTCTGATAGATGCACTACGCATTCCCCTCCGTTCGTAGCATTGAAGAGGTGAGTGAATGTGTACTTAGCCTAAAGAATGAAATATGGCAGCGTAGCACGCGTCAAGTCAGAGATTTCATCCTTCCAGGCAAGTCTGACAGCGGTTTTTGGACACTGAAAGGATGAAAGACTTCGTTTGCCCAGACAGTGGAACCGAACTGACTCTCAAATGTGTTTTGCGGACATATTTGACTATTTCGCTATGCGCACTCTTTCATTTAGATGTCAATTGTCGAATCTGACGATAACTAGGAATTTGAAAGAGAGAAGTTGCAGGCAATGGTGGATCTTAAAAACGTACCGTATTCCTACGAAATTTCTAAAATCGCTATGGCAAGGAGAATGCGGATTTTTCTACAACTACCGCTCATTGATCAGATACGCGTTTCATCCCATTTAAACTATGACTGGTTTGTATGTCATGTCGTCTTTATTGGAGAGCGCCAGACCTTTGCTCCTATTTTTTATCAAAACGAAATAAAAATCTATAAAATAATGAAGACAAAACATTTTATGTTCTCAAACTTGTTTTGTCCATTTTTGATTGGTCTCTGCCTTTGTAATCTTTCGTTATAAGAAGTAACTTCAACAATAGAAAAATTTCACATAGGAGTGAACCATCGGTATTTATTATAGTGGATAAACGGTAGACAAAATAATGTAGAAGATAGAAAAACATTACGTGGAAATTTGTGCTGCTTAGTAAATGTTTAAATGTGTAGCGTGAACCAATTGTGTGCCTGTGTTTTAAGAAGTGTAACCTATGATAGTAATACGTCTTTGTTAAGTGGTTACGATCAAACGAAGCCGTAATTGTTGTCACGAACGAAAGCGATTAACTCTCTCTCTTCAAGTTAGATAGTCATCGTTTTCCCGTGATATTCTGTGGGCAACGAGAACACAACTCGGATGTTGAACACGACTCAGGAAATAGTGCAATGAATAAACTATATGATGTTACGGCTTATCTTTCTGTGCCACAAGTAAAACTCCCAGTAGAGATCATGTATCATTTCTACATCGAATCGCCATTTATTTCCTTTAACAGAATGAAGTTACGTATCCTTCATCCATTTATGTTGAGCATCACTTCTAACCTGTGGATCCTCCGTCCCGCACACAAGTGAGACAAGCATTACACTTTTCGTACGAGGTTCATTATGATAGCTACTGATCCTAGCAACTCCATAGATAGCTAAACTCCTTCGCCAAGTACATCTACTGCCAAATCTCAGAGCTATGACCAACTAAATAAGCGAATTGTTTGTTGGAAATGACTCCAACCTCTCTTCCATGTAAATTTCTCAATCACTTGTTTAAAGACTCTTTGGCAGATCACGATACAAACCGAATACAAGCAACTACATCCATAGAAAGTGAATTCAATTGGACTACCTATTTATGATGGCATGTACACGGTCGGTCTTGCTTTCTTCAGTACTTTAATTACCACCTTGGGATATGTTCCGTAGTGATTAGCAATTGATTGATTTGAGGTATGTGGAATTATGCACATGGAGAAAAACTATTGGCACTTCACACCGGACAATTTAAAGAGCATGGAAAGATTAAGAGATGCAGTAAAGGGGAACGTGTCTAATTTGAGCAGGCTATTTCGGTCTTGTCCATTCAAGCTCGTAATCATACCTGGTGCTTTTGCTTAATCTGGATCGCTTCAATGTGCTAAAGCTCGAGACAAGGTGTTAAGTCCGGAAAAGCTATTTTTTATTTAGCAATAGTATTAATGCTAGAGACTAGTGAAGTATAGCGGTTGCAGGCGCCATTCAGTAATACATGTGATGATTGGTACGAGCTGCCCGAGCCACCCAGGCCTCCTATATTTCGGGAACGAAAATTGGTGCCATTTTTCTGGGGATTGGTTTCTTCTATTAACGAAAGCTTGAAGCTACCTATGGTGAAAAGTGAGAACAGGTTGGCACAACTAGTAAGATTTTTTATATAAGACAATGTTCATACCAGACTTTTGATAACTGCACTACGATGACATAATTTGCCGACTGATCAGTCTTTCATGTCCTTAACTCTCTAGATTTTTCCTTATGAAAAGGTATATATTGGAACAGCATATT